AAATATATGAAAAATTGATGTAGGTATTCAAATGAAAGGTCTTGATAAGTGTAACATCAAGATGAGCTTATATCTTTAAAAATTTCAATAGTTCACGAGATACAAGGTCATTTCTTAATTATGTTAAATTGTACTGTACTTTCTTAAATATTGATATTTTTAAAGATATAAGCTCATTCCGATGTTACACTCATCAAGAACTTTCATTTGAATACCCACATGCATTTTTTTATATATTTTTCATATATACATATATATATATATATATATAATATATATAAATATATAAAATATATGAAAAATTGATGTGGGTACTCAAATGAAAGGTCTCGATGAGTGTAACATCGCTATGAGCTTATATCTTCAAAAATGTCAATAGTTAACAAAATACAAGGTAATTTCTTAATTATGTATCTAAAAAAAAAAAATTACTAACAATTATTTATTTATTTTAATAGAAAGAAAAAGATTTGGAGCTAACAGCACGTATCGGAAAAGAACTTCTTACGCACAACCAGAAACTAGAAACAAACATAAATGCCCTGGAAGCCGAATTAAAAACTGCAAATGAAAAAATAACCCAACTGAGTCACGAGTTGCTAAAGAAAACCGAATTAATTCAAATATTAACAAATGACGTTGAAGAATCATGCTCAGAAAGCGGTACACCTATGGGAGTCCGTAGTATTAACCTCGACGTAATGCAAAAGCGAATAACATCCCTAGAAGATGAAAACAAACAGCTAAAATGTGAGTTTACAAAGCTTGTCCACGAGACAGATGATTGCGAGGCGCAAGAAGCCAAATTAGTGAAGGACATAGCAAACCAATTGGCAAACGCCAACATGGAAGTCGACGGGTTCGTAGAAGAGCTCGAAAGACAGAGAGAGGAAAATCGTCTTCAACACGAGCAAATAATGAGCTTGACCGCCAAGTTAGCCGAGACAGAACTCCGACTAGCTCAGTTGATGACCGAGCACGACGAGGTAAGCTCCAACCTAGTTATTACTCGCGAAAATCAAAACACTCTCGCCGCAGAGCTGGCTGATTTCAAGGACAAGTACGCAGAGGTCGTTAATTTACTCGCTGAGACCCAGGAACAGTTACGAAAGCAGCGTAAAAAAGGCATGCCTACCGTCAGAGGTGGTTCATTTTTCCCATCAATGGGTGCTGTACCCCAACCAGACTCTATAGCGTCAGAACTGGAGTCTTCTCTTTACTCCGAGTTCAGTCTCGACTCCGGAATCAGCAGCGATCGCATGCCCACTTACAAAAAGGTCTTTGAAACAGTTAGGAGCGCCTCACGAGTGTCTTACAGCGGTCCGGACGCCAATCAGTTCCCCAGGATAGGTTCAATGACCACCTCAACATTGTCCTCAGGCACGACTGGTCCAAGAATGAGCTGTGGACCATTTAAGCCTCAATTAGGTTCAGGTTTTCCTAGTTTAGACTCAACGGGCCAGAGCGACAGTGAAGGATCTTTACTAACAGACTCTGAAGAGTACCCGGGTCCTCATCCAACTGGAGTTCCTGGAGCTCCGGGAGCTGCTGATCTAGAAGCAGCTCTCCGGCGGCTCACTCCAGCTGAAGTGATAGTCCGACGTGCATGTTTAAGTACCGGCGCTGGGTACAATTACGATTACGACGGCGGGGGTATTCATTCTCCCTCTACTTATCTGCCTTTTGGCTGCAGAACTCCGGATAGTATTATGTCCACAGGCAGCTACGGGAATCTCAGTGGGTTTAGTGGTAACTCATCCAGCTGGCGGCTTCCAGAAAAATTGCAGATTGTTAAACCCTTGGAAGGCTCCCAGACGTTGCATCATTGGTCGCAATTAGCTACTCCGACTCTAGGAGGGCTCTTGGACGAGCGTCCGGGGGTTAAGACTCGGGGTGGTAGGGGATTAGAGGATTTAGGGCTGGAGACTTTTACTCTAGCTGACCTTGAGGAAGATGAGGAGTATGCTAATCCTGGAAAATTGTTCCAAGATACTGGCTCGGTTTACACACTGACTAACAGCACTGTTCTCCATCCGGAGGATCCGTTGCTTATGAGCTCTAGTTTGATGGGCAGCAGAGTTGCTACTGCGCCTAATAGTGTAATTAATTCTGGCATGAGCACTCCGAGGACTTTGTCTAGGCGTAATTCCACTTCGACATTTTCTACGACATTAGGTTTGGCTAAAATGCTCAATGAAAGAGGGATTAAGGGTGTCACCTTGTCCTGTGCTACCACTCCTAGTGGGGAGAAAAATTTTACGCCCACCGCGACACCTTGTAACAGTCCGGATGGAACTCCACCGTCTTCTAGGCCAACTTCGCCGGTTCCTTACAGCAGTATGTCCTTTGGACTCTTCAGTAGTGGTGCTGAACTTTTGAAGAGGACGTTTGGCAGCGAGCCGGTGTCAACGCCATCTACTTCACAGAAGAGGAAGAAGAAGCCGCTGTCCAGGACTGAGAAGAAAGCACTTGCTGGGATTAGATTGGTGGAGAAGCTTGAAAGAATGGGAATTGACTCTATCATGGCGGCTAATACTAATTCCTCGTTGTCGCCACTTGCTCTGCAGGGAGCTTTGTGCACTAGGAGGTCTGTGGAGAGTCCCATGGCGCAGTTAATGTCGCTCAAGGGATCTATGTCTACGGAGAAAATAGGATCTTCTTCTTCTGGAAGTGAATCGGCTTTTCATTCTATGTCCAAGGATGAGAAGAAGTCCAGGGGTAATTCGAGGGGGCAGTTGGCCAGGCAAAGAAGGGCAGGTGCTGGGGCTACTAGACCTGATCTGGGACAAGTTAAACCTGCGGTTCCAGCTCCGGCTACTACTAAGGAATCTGCGACGCAGTCCGCGCTGGGGACTATTAGCTCACTTCTTTTTGGACGTAAAGGCGGACTTCTGTAAAGTTTTTCATTTGAGGTTCCGTTTTTCATTTTATAAATTGAAAAAATGCTTTTTCTCGGGGGGAGAAAAGTCTTTTTTTCATTAAGGTAGTTGTCGTGGTATAATATTATCAAAAAATTAGAGACGCGCTGTAAAAGTTTATGAACTTGTAAGCTAAGTAATCCATAATTTTTATATTAAGGAAAACTGTACCCGTGAATACAAACTATACAGTATTCATATGTATATACACTGATAAAAAAATTAACTTGACTCAAGAGCCAAAATTTTGAACCAAGAATACCATTTTGGAGAAAATGATTTTCTTAAATTAAATCAAGAAAATAACTTAAGACATTATTCTTAATTTAAGGTAGTACTACACGTTGGAGAAAGAGAGACAGAGATAAAATTTTGAATGTTTTTTATTAATAAATATTCTCATATTCTTGGAAACCATACTGATTGTTATTAAATATGTTCTAGATGTTATTTTCTCTCGTTGTCTTGATTTTTATAACAATCTGAACGTCCAGTTTTGTGAAATAAAATAAAGTCTGTGATTCTCCATAAAGATCAATGGTAAAAGCAAAAATATGTAGGTAGATATTAATATCTTTTTTTCAAGACTTGCTTGGCTTTCAAAAATTTTACTGCTCAATTATGATATTATAAAGTACCAATATGCCAAATTTCATTAAATTCTGAACGTCAACTCTAAAACCGGTAGTACTACCTTAAGTAAATTTTTCTTGTCCCAAGAATTTATTCTCTTGACTGAAGAAAATGATTTTCTTTAAAATGGTATTATATATTATTATATTCTTGATTCAAGATTTTGGCTCTTGAGTCGTTAATTTTTTGTATCGATGTAGATTTACTCTACATATACTTTTTCATAAATTGTTGAACTTTAATTCGTGTATATAAATGGTTAGACTGTCAGTTTTTTTATAACTAAGAAACTGGTACAGAAATGCAGAGAACGTATGTAATCAATTTTAAATATCCAATTTTTAATTCAATTCATCTTGGGTTACAGATGACCAACCGACTTCAAATTTTAAGGGTAATTGTATAATTATGTCCTTAATAAGCATACAAAAATTTAGAATTTTCTGACGCTATGCCTTAACCACGGCAACTACCTTAAAATACCATTATTTTTGCCTTTAATCATTCATCATCATCATCAATTCATTTCCTTTCAAATTTAGTCAATATAATTCAGAATAAAATGGCCAGCTCTTTGAATTAATTTATACTTAAGTATTAATTGAATTTTGATTTTTTAATTAAAATTATTTTTTTAATGCAATTATTTAAAAAATTATTATTAATTTTTTATTGGGTTTTAATTCTAAAGTAATTAATTTACTTTCTGGGTGAAAAAATTAAAAATTGATAGTAAAAGAAGAATATGTCAAAAACTAGAAAATAAAAATGTAATACAAACTTTACATTGTATATGAAGGAGAATATTGAAAGACTGAAAATATATTAACGAATGATGTCTTCTTGTCGATAATGTGAATAATTGTTAACAAACGCAACTGTTAATATTTTTTTATTTATGAGTTTTAATTCTTAGTAATGTATATTGTTATTTTTCAACAATGAGTAAAAAATATAAAAAATAAATTTAATTATTTAAAAATAATTATTAAATTAAATTAAAAATCTAGCCATTTTATTCTGATTTATTAAACTTAAAAATGCTGCTACCACATACATAGCTTTTGTGGCTCTTAAATGAATTAAATAAGAGTTCATGTAACTTAAGTTTTATTAAAAAAAAAAAAAAAAAAAAAAAAATTTTAAACGCGACCGCACGGTATTAGTATGTGGTCAGACGTTAAGTAAAAACTAGTCATGAAAAGGGTGAAATAAAGAAAGGAACAAATACGGAATTGTTTATAGGAGAGTGGCCTTGCAGTTAATTTAGTCGTCAGAGTTGTAAAAAAATTAATTAAACTGTGTATGTAAATAGAAAATTGCGAGATTATAAGTATGAATGGAAAATACCTTGCAACAATTTTTTTGTGTTTTTTTTAATGCACAAAAATCGTTTATTTAAATTATTGATGCAAGATTATTTTTATTTATTTTAATAAATTTATTTCAACGAAATAAAAATAATTTTTTTTTTATTCTATCGAATAATTTTGCTACTGTCAGTCTTTAATTTTTAAGACTGTACATCTAGCATTAATAAACTGTAAATAAATGATTTGATTTTTTTGAATGCTTTGATTGATAATTTCACCGGTTAGAAGAATAAATATGTTGGAGATTATATTTAATTTTTTCGCTCGACGCAACCTTGTATATAGTCGTACAAATTAATAAAGTAAGTTATTTAAAATAAATTAGATTTTTTTTGGCTTCTCCCATAGAAAAATTATCTATTGTTTTTTTCTCATTAGTATTTTATTTAAATTTGCGTTATTATCAGGCCTAATATTAAAAAATTAGTGAGAGTAACTGCGTGTGAATAAACTGTATGTAAAGCAACAGATAAATATGAGAATGGATAAATAATTGGGTGCTTCGATTAATTTAATTAATTTAAAGAGAAAAAAAATGCTTCGAAAAGACGACAAAGATTAGAATTTTGTCAAATATGTAAGTTAGAATTTAAAGAACCATTATATACTTCATTTTAGATTTAGAATCGTTATTATGAAAATAAAAAATAAAAAACACAGTAAATTTTAGACAACTTGATCATATCTGTTCAGACTTATTAAATAAAATACAGCTCCATAATTTGATAACTAAAATACTAAGAACTGTTGTTCTATATTGGTAATGATAATATATGTTAATAGAACAGAAAAATAAGTATAAATAAAATTATCATTAGATAAAACCAAAAATGTCTGTTAAAATATCTCTTTACTTGTGTTTAATTTTGTATTTCACTAAAACGATGATTTATTTATTAATGACGCAAAACAATGCAATAAAGCTAAATAAATAGAGCCATTTACATTGTTGAAAAAAATAAATTTTACGACCATTTACACGTCGTGTAATCTGATAAGTCGTATGTTCTAAGTGAACAATAATAAATATATTTCAATATTTAATTTATGTTGTCTTCATTTATTTTACCTCTTTTATTATTTTAAATGAATACTATAAACTAGATACCTTGCAATCACTATGTGACTCTCGTGACTTGTGAACTATAAATAAATAAAATTTTGATTTATTAAATAATGACTTTTGTTAAATTGCACTCTACTTTCTTAAATATTGAAGATTTTAAAGATATAAGCTCATCCTAATGTTACACTCATCAAGAGCTTTCATTTGAGTACTCACATGCATTTTTTATATATTTTTCATATATACATATATATATATATAATATACATAAATATATGAAATATATGAAAAATTGATGTGGGTACTCAAATGGAAGGTCTCGATGAGTGTAACATCGGGATGAGCTTATATATTTAAAAATGTCAATATTTCACAAGACACAAGGTAATTTTTTAATTATGTTAAATTGCACTGTACTTTCTTAACAATTGACATTTTTGAAGATATAAGCTCATCCCGATGTTGCAATCATCAAGAGCTTTCATTTGAGTACCCACATGCATTTTTTATATATTTTTCATATATACATATATATATAATATATATAAATATATGAAAAATTGATGTGGGTACTCAAATGGAAGGTCTCGATGAGTGTAACATCGGGATGAGCTTATATCTTTAAAAATGTCAATATTTCATAAGATACCAGGTCATTTCTTAATTATGTATCTAGAGATAGAGTATTTTCGAATAGAGCCTAAACAATCATACTAAAATTTTGCTTATTTTTTTAATCATATAGATTTTATTATTAAATAAATTTTAAGAAAAAAAGAATTATTTTCTCAAGGATCCGCCGTCCATTCCGGCTAGCTCTTGATCTGCTGTTACGGTATGATGAATTACAATATAAACAATAGGATTAATAATAAAATTAGAACTCTTTAATTATTGAAAATTTATTTATTTAATTAATTAATAAAATTTATATAATTAATTTATTATTTTATTATCAATTGAATTATTTATCACAATTTTTATTTTATAAAATATAAAGCTCATTTAGTTGTTGTATTTACTATTCTAAACTGATTTCAAATTACGAATTAATAATATGAGATTAACTATCGAAATATAAAAAATAAGAAAATAATGTTAAATATGTAATTAAAAAAACTGTTTTAAACAAGTAATAATTATTAACAAAATAAAGTAAAAAAATGAATATTAAAGATGAAGACGTATCCAGCCTTTTCGAGTAACCGGAGCCATACACAGTGGACATTTTTTTCCCGAAGTAAGAAAACTTAAAATATAATTTTCACAGAATATTTGACCGCATTTAGTTGACATAGCTTTTAAAGATACTAGAATGCAAATTTGCGCGCGCCTGACTATAGAATTTGCATATATTTTTATGCTTATGATATATTCGACCAATCACGTTACGATTTATTAGCCAAATAAACGTTTTATTAAATAGTAATAAAATTTTATAACTATTAAGGTAGTACTACCGTTACCACCAGAGTCAAATCCCAAAACCTAACCTTATTTGATTAACGTCGTAGATTTCCCCTACGATACTAAATCGCGTTGGAGAAAGAAAAACAGAGATAAATTTTGAATGTACATATTTGGAACGAAGTTCCTTACGGCAGGCTTGGAGGGGATAGGGATTTTGCTGCGCGACCGAACTGAAAAAAATGTGATAGTAAAACCGTAAGAAAAAATCCGTGAAAAAATTGTAGTAGTCAATATACGATAAATTAAAATAAAAAACCCATAAAAATTCCTAAAATTAAATAATAAATAGTATATGAGGCATTAATCGTTGAAATTTTGAAAATAAAAAAAAAAAAATAGTTAAATACAAAAATTAATTTGACTCTTTCAAATCAACTGCTAGTAACCTGTCCGTGATTTGGCAACGCTGTACTTCGGTTGTTTACATTTTCATTTGCACAATATAACCTTAACCACGTTTAAGTTTTTGCAGTCAGAGTAAATAAATAAATTAGTTTGAATTTATTGAATGGTCTGAAGCTCCCGCGATACGCAACGTTGCCAAAT